TTTGTCTGCTGCTTTAGCTCAGAGTAGTGCCTGGCCTGTAGAAGGCTCTGCAGGTATCTGAGCTCCTAACCTGGGATTGGGATCCAGCAAAGTAGGAAGCACTCTAGAGGCAGGACACCGGAGTCTGAGACCTGAATTTACAACTTCCTGTCCGTGTGACATTGTGATGGTGCCCATCCTTTCTGAGCCTCAGTCTTCACTTTGGGGAAGTAGGAATATCCCCACCCCCTACCATGTCACAGGGACAAATGAACTAATGCACACAAAGCGTCTTGCACAAGAGAGCAACTCAACCCTCTGCCTCTGGGTTTTGCCAAGAGCTACAGAGCAGGATCGATTTGTTCCCAGTGGCGGAAGTCTGAGAATTATTTGCTTCTGGATTGTAAACTGCTGGAGTCCAGGGTCTAGCACAGGTCTGGGCACACAGAAGGGACCCTGGAAATGTGGCAGGAGGTCAGAGCTAGTCATGCCCTTAGAGATCACACCCATACCCTCTGATCTCAAGAGAAAAGGGATTTGCTCAAGATCTCACAAAGAGCTAGTCCAGTCCTGAACTAAGTCCGAGATTGCCTTCCTGAGTCCAGTGTTCTTTTTGCAAGGAAAAGCATAAACCCCAAGGCAGATGGGCACAGATCTTGAACCTGATCACACACTGGGGGGCAGGTGACCAGCACTGCTTCTACTGGGCATTTCTAAGGTCACCATTCTAAAGAAGAGGCACAGATAGAATGGGGTTGGTATTTTTGTAGCCATCCAGATCTCCACATACTCTGTTATACTGGAGGCTCTCCTCTTCCCCTTCCTCAGTGCCACTTGCATTTAGAGATGGAAAGAGATAGGCTGAGGGGTTAGTTTCACCATACTTAGGTCTAGTGCTTGGGACAACTCAAATGGAGACCCCTGATGTAACTCCCCACCTTCTGGATGACCATCCTTCTGAAAGTCACTGTATTTCTCAGACTTGATTATCTTTATCCATAAAGATGGAGAATAATAACAATACCTCTCCCTCCCACCCCCCACCCAACCACAGATTGGTCGGGAAGCTCAGAATCTCATTGTAATCTATGAGTGACCCATTGCGTAACATGAAATGGCTGAACAGAAGTTGTGCAACGAGCACTGGGCCCCCTCCTTCTCCAACTGTACATTTCATGTCCTTTGCATTCTGATTTTATCTAAGAGTTGCCTTATGAATGGAATAGGTGACTGCCTGGAGCTGGAGGAATCTTTTTCACTTGCAGCGGGGCATAGACTGACATGGAGATGACATGTGACATGCACACTGAGTCCCAACTCCATGCAGAGCCAAGAACACACCAAATTTGGAGTGCTGAGACCTTTGAGATTCTCTCACTAGTGATCTATTGACTTACTGATTTAGGAAAAGAGTTGAGATCTTAACCTCAAAGGGAAGGACCAAATGTTCTCCCTCTGTTAAAACTCCATATGCTAACGGCCGAGATTGGATGCCTTATTTACCTTGGATAGATGCCCAAATGCTCAAAAGGTCAAACTCTGCTTTCCCCCAGATCACAAGAGTCATTATCATGCTACGGAATGCATGAACAAATGCTGAAAAGGTACTTGCACTGCTGAGATATTTTTTATGATGACTACTCCTGCCTGATATATACTCCGCATTTTGTGGTTTTCAGGGTGCTTTAGATATAAGAGGCAGCTGAGTATGGTGGTGATGATATGCAGCTCTGAGTTCCGCCACTACTCAGGTCTGTGATTTTGGTCAACTTGTTTAACCTCTGAGCCTCAGTTTCCTAGAGGTAATAATTGCCTCCTCTCAAAATGCTTAGCAAAGTTCCTAGCATCTAGTCAATGCTCAATTAAAAGTAGTTATTCTTACTCTTGGTTCATTTGAACTTTGTTCTTAGGATGGGAAATGGGGGCAGAGGATGAACACAGCCTCATAGCTAATTAGGAGGAGATACAAGACTAGAACTCAGGTGTCCTGAGTCCTGGTCCTAGGCTAAGAATGATTGTCCCATCAGATGGACGTTTTTCTGCAAGGGGACTCGCAATTACTTATGGGTAAATCCAAGACTTTGATCTGAGACCTTTTTTTGGTTAGTTTGTTTTTCTTTTAAAAAATTTTTTAATGTTAAAGATGTGGGCTACAATTCAGGGTTAGGTATACAAATGTTCGTTATGCAGGTGCCCGGCTTGCTTTTCAGGAAAGGACAAGAGGACCATTTAAGCTGAATGCCTGAAGCAGATCCTGGTGTTGGGAATGCTTTCAGGATGAGGGAGAGTGGTACAAGAAATGTGCCTCCAGATGCACATGGTTCCCTGGGACTAGGGTTGAGGGTGTCATCCCAGGGCGCTACGGAGCATCAGAGGGAGAGCCAACAACGGAAACATCTAAGATCATCCAGCCAAGGCCATACCCTGGAAGTTCAAGCCCAGCTCTCGCAAAGGCCCACCTTCTGCTAATCGCTCCAAGCCCTGCAATAACTTGTTTGGATAGCACGTTTCTTAGTGGATTCACAGGCCATTCTGCTTTTAATCTGTTCATCTCTGTCCCTCAGGCCACAAGTACCTGGATGTTGAGATCCTCGGTGTGTGCCCTAGAATTTGATGTTAGCACATGGTACATTCTTAAGACTATAGGATTGACTGGCCACTAAAATCGAGCTGTTCTCAAACCAAGAGCTGCCCTGGGTGCTCGTTGATGGTAACAACAGCATCTGTCAGCCCCAGGCGAAGGAGTGGGCTCTCTCTCCGCGTTGTCCCCTTCAGAGAACTTATGGTCTCTGAAAACCACAAATGTGGTTTTAGCTATGAAGAAGACTCATCTGAGGGAGCTGTTTTTGTAGTCTGAGACACGTTTTTATGATTGCTCCCCCAACTGGGGGGAGTCCTTGGTTTTCTAGGACAGCTTGGAATTTCAGAAATAGTCAAGTCGCTCAGAGCCTTGCCGAGAACAAGGTGTGCCACAGAGGAGGCAGAGGGCTGATTTTCATAAAGTCCAAGGTTTGACTCTAAAGCAACGAATGTGAGTTTTTAGCAAGGCTTACAAAGGGTTTTAAAGGCTATCTGCAAAGAGAAGCTATGCCTGGAAATGAAGTGAGCAATGACAATTTCTCCAGAGCAAGGGCACAGATGGCCATTTCAGGACCAATTTTAAGGAAAACGGTCCCTGGAATACATGCATTGAGTGCTACATTGATCAAAACCAAAGCAGTTACTAGTCACGCTTTTCATTATTTACTTATTTTCATGAATTAATAAGTAAATTAGTTAATAATTTTAATTAATTGATTTACTTATTTTTAATTTTTTTTATTTAGAAAGGGTCTTGCTCTGTGCCCAGGCTAGTGTGCAGCAGTGTGATCATAGCTCACTGCAGCCTCAAACTCCTCCTGGGCCAAGCAATCCTCCTGCCTCAGCCTCCTGGGTAGCTGGAACTATAAGCATGAGCCACCACACTGGCTCATTTTTATTTTTATATTTTTTAGAGATGGGGTCTTGCTATGCTATCCAGGCAAGTATCAAAACTCCAGACTTCAAGTCGTCCTGCTGCCTTGGTCTTCCAAAATGCTGGATTACAGGTGTGAGCCTTTGTGCCTGGCCATTCACACGTTTCCAAAGAGTATTGGTGGTGGATGAGAAGGGGAAGAAGACCCCTGCAATTATGTCTCCTCCACCCTTTTCTCCTAGGATTTGGCCCAAGTGAATAGAAACAAGTGGGAAAGAAAAGATACATTTAAAGTCATGCTGAAACCCTCTGGGTGCATTACCAAGAGGCTTTCCTTTACTGACTTAGTTGTTGACCATAAGAGAGGCACAAGACATAAAAAGGGTAATTAGGACAGAGGTCAGAGATTCACTTCTAGAGTTTGCCTGACTAAGGGCCAGCCATTTGGAGGACAGGTCGCTGGCAGAGTAATCGCTCCAAGTCTGCCATCCTACTTAACAGCCATCTTTGTGATAGCTGGAACTCCAGTAAACAAAGTTTTGTAAAAGTCTACATGAGCAACCTGATGGCACATTCTCAATAGGTTGTTGGTGGTTGACAAGGAGGAAAAAAAGAGAGAGGCGGTATTTCAACCACCTCCTCCCACACCTGGGCCCAAATCAGAATCTTAAAATAAATAGAAAGCTGACTTGCTGAAAGTGGATTGCCCTGGGAATTGGAGAAGACAGGCCCTCTAGTTATGTGAAATGGCATTACCTCAGAGCCAGGGCGTCCAGTTCTATGAATAGGAAGGAAACAGACCCACGGCTCTATAAGAGCCATTTCCTCTCAGCTCTATTAATTTCACAGATTAAGCAAGCCACTCCTCTGTGACTCGAATACCCTGAGATAACAGCCATTGTGTTTGCTGCAACTCCTGCTAACTGAGCTAATCTTGGTAGATTGGTGGCGTTGCAGCTCTTTATTGTCAAATTCAACCAGTCAATGGCTCTCATGGCCCCTTCTATCATCATCCTGCTTGCTAGAACTACCACTAGAATTCCTGATGCTGAGTTTCAGACACTTGGATAATGCCTGGGATCCCAGGGATAAAAATAGAGGTGTGTCAATAAGCTTTTAAAAGGAAACCAGGGCCAGAGGGTTGAATGGAAAGCCCTTTCTGTGTCCTACTCACTGGCTTCTCATTCCCTGTCATACTAGAAATCTCATGCAATATGTCTGGTGCTTGCCATTCTGACTGGTTTCTATTAAGAGAAAAAGTAAAATTTTCTTCCCTTTCATCCTACCTCTTTTTCCTCATTGAAAGGGTGCAGTGCAGAGATGATTAGACTGGGTATCCAGATGGAGCCTTGGACTGTACTTCCGTCTTGTTCCATTTCCAGAAACCCACAAGAGGCAAGGTCAGCTCATTTCATAGATCTTTTCTAGATCAGATTTGAGTTTCTTATATTTTGGGTGGGTTTCGTGCCACCAAGTTTGCACAGAGAATTTCAATAACACATTTTTCATTTAACTTTAAGATCAGAAGCATTCAACACCCCCCTCCCCTCATAGCCCATTGTCTCACCGATTCCTGGAGCTTTCTGGGCTCCTGACGATTTCCCACCATGCTGAAATGAGGAAGCATGCTTTTGATCACAAGCCGACTTTTCCATTCATCCATTGTTTGACTTGCAATTTTATTCTGGACTCTCCAAGGCGCTTCCCAAGCGACCTGGACACAGGGCTTAGGGAGACAAAAAGTACACTGTCTTTCAGCTATGAAGATGAGACCATTGACCCCTTGCATCACAGACTTTCACTCTGAGGACAGGTTTGTGTGGAGTCAGCCACATTCTTTTACCTTTCTCTCTCCCTCCCCCACCTCCCCCATGGAGCACCCCCACCCCCAAGGACGAGAGGCACTTCTGTGAGGCAGTTGGCTGGGATGAAATGGCTGTCCTTGGTCAGGAGGTAGAATAAAATTCATTGGAGGGCAGGGGGCTGCTTGGATGGAGGAATAACACTGGACTTACAGGCAGGGAACGTGGGTCTTAGGTTTTTGTGTGTGTGTGTGTGATATACAGTGGCACCCAGGGAAAAGGCCCTTCTGTTCTTTGAGACACAGTTTCCTTACATGAAAAACATGGTGGCAAAATCAGGTGGTGGTTTCAGGGCCCCTTCAGCTCTACTAAAGTAAGTCTCATGGTCCATTGAAGGAGCAGTCACCAACTCTGGCCCTGGTAGGACCTAGCCAAGTAAGCTGACCAACAGCTCAAAGCCTGACAGACATGGGAAGGAAGCAGTGAATATTGAAAGGGGCTTATGAATCTGGTACACCGATTTATAGGAAACTAACCGAGCAGGCTATGATCATGGCTACTCAAGTGTATACCTTTCATGATGAATAAGCAGATATACGCAAACTCAGGTAAAGCCATCATTTATTTTTTTGTTTTTCATGATACAGACATGAAATGGGAGCGCTGATAAGGTATTATACATGAGGGCAACTCTACTTCTCATAAACCTCCTTGGCAGTACAGCATCAGGCTCTAAAATCCAATATCTAAAACCTCTGCCTCTGGAAAGACGGCAGAGCACTTTCCCCCATTCTCCCACTGACTACTACTAAAACCTCTGTACATTATGTATAAAACAAACATAAGAAGATACCAAAAGATGGAAAGAAAAAGGCAGACTGGCTAGGAATCTTGAGACCTGAGGAACGACGCATTGGTTAGTTCTTGAAATTTTCTTTTCACCTCAAAAATGCCAGACTTTCAGCTGAAGAAGCCAGTAACCCAGAATGCCAATGGGCACTGATAAAAATGCCCTAGCAAATGCCTGCTTTTTCTAGCCAAAGGACCAAGAAAGGGATAGCCCAGCAAAACAGAAAACTATGACAATAACTGTTCTAATCCAACTAAAACCCATGGGGGAAAAAACGTGGTCTCATTCCACCTCAACAATAAAGACCAAGTGGGGAGCTGGACCTCTCATCTCTGCCAGTGTTAACGGGAAGTTCCACCCTCCCTGATGTTAAGAAGAATTAGATAGTGTCCCCCCCCGCCCCCTGCTTCCTGCCAGAGCTGTGTCAGAGGAATTCAGCTAAAACAGACAATATAAATAAGATTCAGTCTTTTAATTTTTTTTTTTTAACTTTTAGCGATGGGAGTCTCACTATGTTGCCCAGGCTGATCTTGAATTCCTGGCCTCAAGCAATCCTCCCACCTCAGTCTCTCAAAGTGATGGGATTACTGGTGTGAACCACCATGCCCAGCAAAGATCCAATCTTATAACATAATGACTCAAATGTCCAGGTTTCAATGAAAAAGCACTTATACCAATAACCAGTAAGATCTCAAACTGAATGAAAAATATTATCAACAGATGCCAATAGCAAGATGACACAGATGTTAGCATTATCTGACAAGGATTTTAAAACCGTAATCATTAAAATGCTTCAGTCAACAATTAAAACCATGCTTGAAACATGTGAAAAAATAGAAGAAAGGGCAACCACTTCTGGTTCCCTCCCACTGTGGGAACTTTTCTGTCATCTCAATAAATCCTGCTTTCTAAAAATTAAAAAAAATGGAAAAAGTATCAGCAAAAAACCAGAAAATATAAAAAAGAACTGAATAAAAATTTTAGAATGCAACAAATACAATAATGGAAATAAACTCAATGGTTAGGGTCAAAAGGACAGCGGAAGGGAAAGAGGAAAGAATTAAGATAGAACAACAGACATTGCCCAACCTGGACAACAGAGAGAAAACAGAATAAAAATGAACAGAGACTCAGGGATATGTAGGATTATAAACAAAACATTTAACTTTCATGTCATTGAAAGGAAAGGAGAAAAAGAATGGAACTGAAGCATGCATTCAAAGAAATAGTGGCTGAAAACTTTCCAAATTTGCCAAAAAACATAAACTTGGAAATTCAAGAAGCTGAGTGAACCCTAGATAGCAATCAAACTTATGCAATGTGAAGGCAAAGTCTTGAATGCAGCAAGACAGACATGGCACCTCATCTATGGAGGAAAAACTATTTGGATGATGGTGGATTTTGGATCAGAAGTCATGGGATCCAGAAAGAAGTGGCATAATATTTCTCAAGGGCTGAAAAAAAAGAGAACTGTCAACCAGAGTCCTATACTCAGTCAAAATATGCTTCAGATATAAGGAAGAATCAAGACATTCTCAGATAAAAGGAGCTCTCACAATTTGTAAACAACAGAGCTTTACTAAGAGAGTGTTTAAAGAAAGTTCTCTACCCAGAAAGGAAATAATAAAAGAAAAATCTTGGACATCAGAAAGGGAGAAAGAACAATGAAAAGAGAAAAATATGGGTGAATATAATAGGGTTTCTTTCTCCTCTTGAGTTTTGTAAATTATGTTTGATAGTTGAAGCATCAGTTATAACACTGTTTGATGTGGTTTTAAATGTATGTGGAGGGAATATTTAACACAACTACGCTATAAGTGGGAGGATTAAAAAAGAACAAGAGAGGTAAGCTTTCTACACTTCATTGAAACTGGCAAAATGTTGACACCAGTAGATCATTATAAGTTATATATACGTAGATAAAATGTAATTACTTAAAGCAACCACTAAAAATGCTATACAAAAAGACTCAGAAACACTATACGTGAATCAAATGGAATTCTAAAAATTGTTCAAGTAACCCACAGGAAGTCAGAAACAAGAAAATAGAAAACCGAAACCAGCGATCAAACAGAAAACAAAATAAATTGGCAGAATTAAGCACTAACTAATCAGTAAGTATAATAAATGAAAATGGTCTAAATATATCAATTAAATGACAGATATTGGCAAAAGAATGAGCTAATGATATGTGGTTTGCAAGATGCTCACCTCAAATATAATGCTTTAGGAAGGTTGAAAGCAAAATAATAAAAACAATATTCTACGCCAAAATCAATTTTAAAAAGTAGCAGAGGCTGCTCTAGTAATATCAGATTAAGTACATTTAAGAGCAAAACATTTACCAGGGACAGATGGGAACATTACATGATGATAAAAGGGTCAACTTACAAATAAGACATAGTAATTCTAAATGTGTATGCTCTAAACAACAGAGCTACAAAATATAGGAAGCAATGCTACTGGAACTGAAAGGAGAAATAGAAAGACTCACATCTGTAATTGAATAATTTAACACTCTCTCTCAACAATTGATAAACAACCACACAAAAAATCAGCAAGATATAAATGACCTCAACAACATGTTTCAATAGGACCTAATTGACATTTATAGAACACTCCACTGAAAAACAATAAAATTTGCATTTTTTCCAAGCACCCAAGGAATATATGCCAAGATAGATATAGTCTGGACCATAAAACAATCTACAGCAAATTTAAAATAATTGAAACAATATATAATGTTTTCTCTAACTATGATGGAATTAAATTAGGCACAATAGCAGAAAGACGATATGGAAGTCTATAAACATTTAGAAATTAAACTGTACGCTTCAAAAAATTCATGGGTCAAAAAAGAGGTCTTAAGATAGACAAAACATACATTGAACTGAATGAAAATGGAAATAAAATATATCAAAAATTTAGGGACACAAGTAAAACTGTGCTGAGTGTGAAATTTATAAAACTAAATGTTTGCATTAGGAAAGAGGGTAAGTGTAAAATCAATAATCTAAGCTCCCACTTAAAGAATCTAGAAAAAGAAGAGTGAAATAAATCTAAAGCAAGCCGAAGGAAGAAAATAATAAAGAATTAAAATCAATAATATTGAAAACAGTTCAATAACAGAGTAGAATGACTATAGTTAACAGCATATTGTATATTTCAAAATAGCTGAAGAAAGGACTTGAAATGTTCCCAATACATAGAAATGATACTCAGGATAATGGACCTCCCCAAATACCCTGGCTTAATCATTACACAGTCTATTCAGGTAACAAAATATCACATGTATCCCAAAAAATATGTTCAAATATTTGTACCAATAAAAATAATATCATTGAAATAAAAAACTAGAGAAACCAAATAAAAAGCTAGATCTTTAACAAAATTAATAAAGTTTACAAATCTCTAGTAAGACTGACAAAGAAAAAAGAGAAAACACAAATCACCAATATTCTGAATGAAAAAGAGGATATTACTACAGACCTTGCAGACATGAAATGGATAATAAAGGAATACTATGAATAATTCTACACAAATAAATTTGGAAACTTAGATGAAATGGACCAATCACTTTAGAAGCACAAACTACCAAAATTTACTCCATTTGAAATAATCTAAATAGTTGTATAAATATAAAATAAATCAAACTCATAATATAAAAAACTCCTGAAATGAAAACTTTAGGCCCAGATGGTCATGCTAGAGAATTATACCAGCTGTTTAAAGAAGAATTAGCACCAATTCTACATAATCTCTTTCAGAAAAGAGAAAAGGAGACACTTTCCAACTCATTATATTACCCTGACAGCAAAGACAAACACTGTACAAACAAAGAAAACTGCAGACCAATATTTTTCATTAATATAGACACAGCAATCCTTAAGAAAGTTTTAGCAATTTATAAGAAGAATTATACATCATGGCCAAGTTGAGTTTATTCTGAGGAAGCAAGGTTGGTTCAGTATGCAAAAGTCTATCCAAGTTATCCACCATATTAACAGGCACTAATGAAAATCATATGAACA